CTCGTCTTCTCGTCCTACCCGCTTTTCCCCCAAATATAACACTAAACACTTGCTGGGCCAGATATAACACTAAACACACACCGATCAATGTGGTAGCAGTTAGTCACATGAATGTAGCATAGTGTTATTGTAATAGTGTAACTCAAAATTACGTGTTACTGTATTATTAGTTCAATTAAATTTTTAATAATTAAGCCTACTATTAGCTAATGCCTTTTAAAGGTAATGAAATACACGTTTATATGTTATTATTGAAATCCATCTTGGTAGTGGAAAATGAAATATTCCACAATTAAATATTTTTCTTGAGGAATTGGCGCATATTTGACTTGGTTTCAATCCACAAATGACTATAGGGTCCAATGTGCTGTACTAGTATATTGTGGGTAGAAATTTGAAATTTGAAGTTTCGATCTAGAAGTCACTAAGTGAAAGATGAGGAATGGTGATGCTTTCTCTTTCAGCATAACAGACCACAGAATTCCTGGTTTTATACAATAACAAGGCGACCTGCTTTCAAATTTTACAAAATCTGCATACGTTGACATTTTCGTCTTGAAAAACCGTTAAAGTAGCAGATTTCACGTGGAGCCGTTAAGACTGAAAAACGGCAGTTAATGGTTTTACAGAGAATGTTTGTTTTATTGCTAAAATTTGTTATCTCTTGATTGGTAAATTCCTATGAAAAATTGGAAACAATAAATGTGTTTTATTTTCTAACGAATAATGAAACTTTCTTAAACTCCTGTAGATGTTGAAATACTTGGAGGTGTTTCAGGACGTCATTTAACCGCACTACATAAACTCTCATCTTAGAGGTGTTTCAGGACGTCATTTAACCGCACTACATAAACTCTCATCTTAGAGGTGTTTCAGGACGTCATTTAACCGCACTACATAAACTCTCATCTTAGAGGTGTTTCAGGACGTCATTTAACCGCACTAATGTAGTGCGGTTAAATGACGTCCAGAAACACCTCTAACATGAGAGTTTTTTTTATTAAAGAGTTTATGTAGTGCGGTTAAATGACGTCCAGAAACACCTCTAAGATGAGAGTTTATGTAGTGCGGTTAAATGACGTCCTGAAACACCTCTAAGATGAGAGTTTATGTTCTCACCGAACAACTACGACCACAGATGAGCAGGAGCAAAGGATGGAGCCTATAATTATAATACATGCTATTTTTTATCTTATTATTTCAACAATAAACTTGACTACTTATTATGTAAAATACACGCTATAGGTTCTATTATAATTTATTTTTTCAACCATTTGAAGCTATGTACTGTCAGTTACGGTTTGTATTTTAGCGGAATGCTCCTGAAGAAGCTGTAAAACGTCCAGTTAAAGAATAAGATAACAAATTTGGTGTTATAAAGTCTTTTATTACTAGTATTAAAATAACTATAACTACAGTTCACTGTAATTGTGTTTCTACAGTATTTCTAACCTAAACACATCTGATGGTAAATAACACCCTGGAAACACCTCTAAAATGAGAGTTTTTTTACTAAAGAGTTTATGTAGTGCGTTTAAATGACGTCCTGAAACACCTCTAAGATGAGAGTTTGAGCTTATATAAATCTTCTGTCGTTATAGATTCTATTACAATTCACTATCTAAACAAAATGAAGCTTTGTGCGGTTAATTACGGTTTCTGTTTTAATCAATCGCTCCTGAAGAAGCTGTAAAGCAAAGCGTTGAGTGTCCAATTAAAAAAGAAAAATAATAAATTTGATATTATAAGGTCGTTTATTAGAAGTATTAAAATGTCTTTTATACTCAGATATGCACTAAAGATATGCAATACTTCCATTTATAATTTTCTTAGACACACCGTTAATACACCTTAGATGGCGCTAGTATATGGCCGTTCACATTATCGTGGGAAGTGAGAAACCCGTTGTGTTTTACATTGTTAACCCCTAACCAAACGTCGATCAACCAAACCATCCTCAATTTTAGAAAACCTTTAGAATATCAGTTACAACAGTAAGTCCTTCCATTCCTTACCTAATCTAAACTAGGTTGAAATTGTTTTGGAGAAATATGCTCTCTCATTGATGGTGGTGTCATCTAGTGTCCGAATTTTCAAATGTATGTATAGTCTAGGACAGGGGTCACCAAACTTTTTTTCACAGCGGGCTAGATAACTGAGAGAATGACGAGCGCGGGCCGCATAACCATTTTGTTCAATACAATACAGTGAATACACAAAAAATAAAGACAACAAACATGTTTATTTTCTAAAAGTTATCAAAGAAGGCGACGTTAGCAATAAGATAGTTATATCACACCCAGTGCGCACATATCCGAATCTCACAAACTAAGCAGCGAAAAAGGTTTGTGAGATTTGTGAAACTGGCGTTTAGCTTTTGAGATATCATCAATATTTACTTTGGAATTGCTGCATCCAACCAAGAGAATTGCTTTCAAATGTTCATCAGTCAACCTCGTTCAATGTGCTGACTTCACATACTTCATTTTTTGAAATGTTTGCTCACAGACATAAGTTGTTCCAAACACTGATGCCATACCAGAGGCAAATTTCTTCAACTTTGAAAACCCAACATCAGGTAAGCAGCAATAAAATTCAACAAGTTTTCCATCTCTGTGCTTCTCTTTCAATATGTCATTTGCTTGCAAATCAATGAGCTCCAACTGTAGTTCGACTGGCACGTCATCAAGGTTACAATCAAACGGATTCTGGAACAGAAGAATGTCACTCTCAATTCTGTCGAGATCTGAAAATCTCTCCAAAGAATGCTTAAGTCACTAATAATCTTCTTCGGAAACTCGAGGTTGACATTTTCTGCGATTCCAGTGCAAAACTCTTTGAAACACTGAAAATGAGAGAAGTTTCCTCCTTCCAGTTGTGCTTCAAACAATGATAGCTTTCTCCGAAATCCTTTAATGATTCTGTAGATATCACAGATAAGGTTATCCTTTCCCTGAAGTTTCAAGTTCAATTCATTCATGTGGGATGTGATGTCAACCAAAAATGACAACTTTGACAGCCAGGTAGGATCTGACAGAAGTGGATCAGCTTTATCCTTTTCGGTAAGAAAAATATCTATTTCTCTTCGGAGCTTATAAAAACGAAACAGGACTTTACCACAGCTGAGCCACCTCACTGCTGTGTGACAAGGCAAGTCACAGAATCAATTTCTTCAAGAAAAGCCTGGAACTGGTGGTGATTAAGTGCATGACCCCGAATGAAGTTCACTGCAGAAACGACTGGTTTCAGTACACAAGAAATATCTAAGTTTTTCCCATAAAATGCTTGCTGATGTATAATGCAGTGTATAAAAAGAGTGCTCGGGAGTTGAAGATCTTCCAACTTAGTTCGTATCTACCCCATCAGACCCTTCCTCACTCCAGCCATGTTTTTTCCTCCATCAACTGTAACACATCGAAGCTGATTCCACTGAAGGTTATAGCCTTGCAAAGTTTTCTGCACTTCCATGAAAATGTCTTCTCCAGTTGTTGTTCCATGCATGCTGCAAATGGATGCCAACTATTCTGTGATCTGAAAGTCCAAATTAACACCCCGAATGAACACGAGAAGTTGTGACATAATCGAGAGATCAGTAGACACATCCAGTGCCAGAGAATACCACAAGAAGCTCCTAGCTTTCTTGC